CCATCATAATTCCTTTCATTATACCCATGTGTGTGCTACTATACTATTCGTGAATTTACGTATAAATAAGTGCGGCTCAAATCCCGCAAACATATCTAAAACAGATGTAAAACAAAAATTCAGGCAACGGCCTTAGTAGTCAACTACACTGAGTCCATCCAGACTCTGTAATAACATATATCAGAATTAGTAGTCGACTATTAAGAATATTAGTCGAGTACTCTGCAAACACATAGTTTATGTTATACTCAACTAGGCACGAGTAGCCGACTATTAAGCTTAGTAGTCGACTACTCTGTCAAGGCACACATTCTTTCGTGCACAAACAGTGCTTATGTCAATTGTACATATCATAATGTTAAAACGAGATTTTATACTTGGAATATGCAATAGGAGTTATCTGAATCATTAAATTAAATTATTATATCTTCCAAATTAGGGTTTAACATCCTAATTAAATAATTTCTTCAATTATCTAATATGTAAACAAAGTGATTATCAACACATGATAAAACTACTCATGAACAGAGGTCAAATTATTTAAATATATTTATTTTACTTAAGTATCACAAACCTAGGGTTTAAGCATGATTAATTAACATGAAAACTCAAAGAAACTTTCACGTAATATATCAATTATTTTAAATCAGCATATCTGTAATTTTCTAAAATATATATCATTAGTAAATTGAGCATATCTTTCTCTAGATAAATTATTTTTAAGAATAGTTTTCTGTTTTGGAAATTAGATCCACATAGCTATCGTTTTGCACTAGTTTAGTTCAGTTTGGAGTTTATATGATATCTCAAATTTCTAGTTAAAAGTTATACACGTGCAGAAGTTTTTTGCACAACATGTCATTAGTAAATTGAGTATATTTTTCTCTATAAAAACTCTTTCTTAGAATGGTTTTCCATTTTGGAAAATAGGTTCATATAGCTTTCATTTGACACTAGTTTTGTTTAGTTTTGAGTTTATATGTTATCTCAAATTTCTAGGTAAATGTTATACACGTGTAGCAATTTTCTATAATCTACAATGAAAACAAAAACTAAACATCTTTATAATTCAATTAGACAACAAATTAGGGTTAACACACGAGTTAAACATAATTATCAAGTTTAAAAAAAATGAAAATTTAATCATCCCTAATGATCTTGATCACATTACTATCATAAATAATTAGGAAAAACTAATGATCTTGCATTGGGTTAAGATTTATCATCAAAAATCTCATCTTTTTCATATTAGGTTAAGCCTTAAGCATTAAAACATTAATTAATTACTTTTATAATCATTAAACATTATGGGAATGGGTTTGAATGCAGATGATCTTGCCTTATCATGTCTGCAAGCCTCTAAAACTGATGTGAAACGACTCCTCATCGCCAAACGTCGTAGATCTCGCCTTTTCCTCGCTTCTCGCCTCACAAGACGCTCCCAAAATCTCAACTTTACAGCTAGAGTTTGAGAGAGAGGAAGAGGGGCTCCTGAACACTAAAATAAAAGAAGTAGTTAGGAAAGACATTTTGAAATGACTTAACAACAGAATCATTTTTCCCATTTCAGATAGTTCCTATGTGATTCTAGTCCAAGTAGCTCCAAAGAAGTCGGGATCACCATAATCCAAAATGAGGCTAATGAGCTAATTCCCACTCAAATCTAGACCAGATGGTGAGTCTGTATCGGTTATAGAAAAATCAATTTAGCCACCCAGAAAGATCACTTACCTCTTCCTTTCATAGATCAAATGTTTGAATGTTTAGCAGACACGAGTTCTATAGTTTCTTAGATGGTTATTTAGGCTACAATTAGATCCCCATTGCCCCTGATTATCAAAAGAAAACTATTTTTACATCCCTATATGTAACTTTTGCCTACCGTTACGAGCCCTTTGGGTTATACAATGCTCCTGTCACTTTTCAACTGTGCATAATCAGTATCTTTCTTAATATAGTTGAGCGGTTCTCATAAATCTTCATGGATAATTTTTTAATATTTGCTGACTCATTTTCTGAGTGTTTGCATCACCTTAAACTTGTCCTAACCCAGTATAAGGAGAAAAATCTTACTCTTAGTTGAGGGAAATGTCACTTCATGGTCAAATATAAAATTGTCTTAGGACATATAGTTTCCAATAATGATATAGAAGTTGACAAATAAAAGATAGATCTTATTTCTAACCTTCCTCCTCTAAAAAATGTCAAGGATTTCATGTCATTCTTCGGTCTTATTGGTTTTTACCGACGGTTCATTAGATTTTAGTAAAATTACTTGGCCTTTGACTAATCTTTTAGCCAAGGATACACCCTTTGATTTCTCTCCTAAATGCCTTAAGGCTATTGATCATTTGAAAAAGGAGCTGACCATAGCTTCCATAATCCGTGCATCGGATTAGACCATATCCTTTGAGTTAATGTGTGACGTATCTAATTATACAATTGGTGCTGTCATAGAATAGCAGATATATGAAAAAGCCCATATGATCTATTTTACAAGTTAGACACTGAACGACGCACAACAAAAATACTCCATCGCAGAGAAAGAGTTTAGTTATTGTTTTTACCTTAGAGAAATTTAGGTCCTGCCTCATTGGCTCTTTGGCTAAGGTTTACACCGATCACGCTACACTGAAGTATATTTTAACTATAAAAGATACTAAAGCACAACTCATTAGATGGATAATCTTTCTCCAAGAGTTTAATTTATAAATCCTTGATAGGAGAGGAGAAAATAACCCAGTAGTAGATCATTTGTCTAGGCTTCCTAATGCATTAACACCAAATGTTCTAATCAACGATCATTTTTCGGAGGAGCAACACCTACAAATTCAATCTATACAGTGGTTTATAAATATTGTGAACTATTTAATCATGAAATAGATCCCTTCACATTGGTCTAAATAGGATAAATCTTGTTTCCTCTCCCAAGTAAAATGTTTCTACTAGGATGACCCCTGTCTCTTTAAGTATTATCTTGACCAGATATTTAAAAGGCGTATTGCGAATAAAGAGATTAGGAGTGTTATTTTTTTTTTCCATGAGCAAGCTTGTGGGGGCCTACTTTAGCCTAAGAAAAACTGTTAAGAAAATCCCCAATGTGGGCTATAATGGCTCAATCTGTTTAAGGATGCACACGAGTTCTGTAAAGCTTTTAACCACTGTCAGCTTGTAGGAAAATCACTAGAAGATATATAATACCCTTAAGACCAATTCTAGCTATTGAGATTTTTAATCTATGGGGTATATATTTTATGAGACCATTTCTAAACTTTTTTGGAAAGTTATACATTCTAGTGACGGTTTGTAAAACCCCGTAAATTTGAATATATTATGACAAATAATAACAAATATGTTATATGGTGATAAATAACATATATTAATGCTTGCGTTTGCTAGGGATTGATTTGATATCAATCCAATGTATATATATAAATATAGGAGTGAAATCATGCACGACATGCACGAGCCTGAATCTGGAAAAATCGACCAGTTAAGAGTATTTATATTTTACACATAGATATAGTTCGAATCTATAAAAACTCAAAAAACATAAGTTGTAGGTCTCTTCAACAGATTTCTAAATCATCTTAAATCACCTTATTCCGAAGTTGAACAGGAAAGTTACAACCAAAATACCAAAGACTATTTTCCCAAACAAACCGATTTGAGTCTTAGTAGTCAACTACTAATATTAGTAGTTGACTAGTAAGGTCATTAGTCAACTAATAGTAGTATTAGTCGACTAGTCGGGCTGTTTTCAGATTTCTTATGGGTTTCAAGTTGGATTCATTTTGTTGCGAACCCAGTTGTATACTCGTTTTAAAGCTCTTTTTACCCTCTTTCACGTGATATTTACACCAGCCACCTTTCTCCTCAAACCCTAACCCTAAATTGTAAGTTTTGGGAGAGATATCGAGGCGTCTGTTAAGAGAAAGGTGAGGCTTTGTAGTTTTTGGCGAGGAGAAGGTATTGCAAATGTGTTTAGGAGTTGCAGCACGTAGTTGAGGCAAGATTATCTTCCTCCAAACCCTTCCCTTAGTAAAGATTAGATTTTTAATGGTTAAAGTGATGTTTTTCATGTTAAAGTTTAACCCGAAATAATAAAGTTTAGATTTTTAATGATAAATCTTAAACCCATGATAGATCTATAAAAATTCTTTGCTTTTTATGATAGTAATATGATCATGATCATTAGGTTGTTAATAATTACGTTTTAAATTTATAAATCATGTCCTAATCATGCTAAAACCCTAGTTTTGTCTTTTAATTAAGCTTTCATGATAAATAACTATGCTTAACCCTAGGTTTGTGAAACCTAAGTCATATAAACATGTTTAAACAAATCTTTCCTCTGTTCACTAGTGGAAAAATAGGTTTCGCTGACGGCAACATCACTGACGGGACAATGCCGTCAGCGATGTTTATATCGCTGACGGGATTAGCCGTCAGAGATGTTGCCGTCACAAGTGTTTCGATACCGTCAGCGATGTGAACATCGCTGACGGGATATGAACATCGCTGACGGGTAGCCCGTCAGCGATGCTGTTCCAAAATTTCCCCCCTCGCGAAAATTTCCCCCGCTCGTTAAAAAATTTTCTCCTTCCCAAATCCCCCCCTACACACGAAAATCCCCCCGGCGAAAAATTCCCCCCATCTCCCCTCTCTCTCTCGCCGACCCACCCCGCCGCCCCCTCGACGGAATCGCCTCGAGAAAGCCCTCGTTCCCCCACCCGCTCGACAGAATCACCTCGTCGTGCCCTTGTCCCTCGTCGATTTTTGGTAGTCTTTTGGTTTAATTTGTATATTTGTGAAAGTTCTCTGTTTCTCATACAATTGTTGATGCACCTGAGGTAAGTCATTTAAGATTGCTCTTTTTTGTTCAAATTTTATGTGAAATGTAGTTGTAATGGTATAAAAAGCTATTCTTGAATTATTATTTTCAAATTTAACTTCAAGTTCATGAAGTTAATAATCTTTTTCTTCACATTTTTAGGTAACCATCAATTTTACTGGTAAAACTTCTCTACTCCCTCCCACTGTGAATTTTTGGAGTAATCAGGTGAAATCTAGTGATGGTGACATAAGGAATCTGCACAAACAACAAGAGGTATGCCTATCAAAAAAGTTCATCTCTATGAAACAAAATATAATTCAGTAAGGAAATGACTTTGGTGGATTGTGTAATTCCTGGACGTCCTTTTAATGAGATCTCTATTGCAGATACCTGTTGAAATTTAATGCTTATGATCTAGATAATTTAAATGCTTAATGAGTCTATGTTATGATTTGGTAAAGTATCAGTTGCTCCAAGAAATGGACTTTAATGCATATTTTGCTTATGTAGGTGCATGCTGAGTCTATTGCTATAGTTTCTCCGCCCCTTGTAGATCCAGCTTCCACTGGGACATCTAGTAAGAGTGAGGTATATAGTTTTTAATCCACGAGTTCATTGTCGATTTGGGGTAATTTATAATCTCTTGAAAGGAAAAAAATTGATTTTTATATCTTTTATTTCTTGATTTGGGAGATTTTTTGGATATAGTTTTTTTCCTGATAAGAATTTCAAATGTTCTTGATTTGCTTAGGAACATATAAGCCTGACCGAAGCAGACATGCAACTTCTGTATGCAAAGAAAGAGATCAGTCATGCCCCCACCCCAATGGTTTTAGATGACTCTTGATCTTTATGTTCCATTATTTCGAAATATTTCAGTTGTTAAGAGGTAAGAACTAAATATGTCTTTCTTGTGTCTACCATATTATTTTGTTCTTGTTGTGGTGTTATTATTTGATGTGAACGATTAATTTGTTCTATTTTATTTTATGATTTGAGTAGGGATATGCAGAGTTTTTCCATATAACAAAGTGTTTAATGATTTAATAATTTCATTATGGATCTTTCGTACTCCAATATATAGTTATTAATTGTCTATGAGCCTTCTTAGCACACTATAATGGAGAATCTATATAATGGAGAATCACGTTGATTCAGGAAACTCTATTATCGCCTTCTAATCAGAAAACTATATTTGTATTTTGTCTTCTAATCTTTCCTTTCCCCTTATCTCCTCCCGTATTCCCTCTTTTCATCACTCCATGTATATTCTGCATCTATTTCCTCTGGTTGCCTGGTCCTTTTAGTTGGTGTCTCAACTGGTGAGATCTGCATTGTATTCAGGAGCTACGAGCTGATGGAAAGAATACTTAAGGTCTACATCTATCAAGATGGACGAAGACCCATTTTCCACACACCTGTGCTTAAAGGTATATATGCTTCCGAAGGATGGTTTATGAAACAAATGGAGGGAAACACACAATTTGTTGTGAAGGACCCGAACAAGGCCCATTTATTCTACCTGCCGTATAATTCTCGCCAGTTAGAAGCTACTCTCTATAAACCCGGCTTGCATAGTTTGAGACCTTTAGCGATCTTCTTGAAGGAGTATGTGGATTGGATATCGGTGAAATATCCATTCTGGAATCGGACGAGAGGAGCAGATCACTTTCTAGTTGCTTGTCATGATTGGGTATGCTTCTTTTTCTTTCATTCCGGTCTTATCGAATATAAATTTGATATCTCTGAATACTTCTGTAAACCGGTGTATGTGATTTTTGATAGATTATAAACTTGTAACACTTGACATTAGCCAATGGTTTTAGAATTTTAGTGTAGTGAAGTGGACTTAAGGTGGTATCAGACAAAATCTAAATCTCACCTGACAAGCATCTGAAACTACTTTCTTCTAATAAAGTGCCTCAATTTTTACCTTACCTTCGGAATATCTTGGTGCAGTGGGTCTTATATAACGGAAAATTTTGTATATCATGACAATTTCTGCTTGTTTATGCACAGATGGCAAATTGATATAGGGTAACACCAGTTAATGTAATACATGCTAAACTCAGTGGATTGTGGAGCACATCATTTGATTAATGAAGGTTTTGTTTGGATACCATGATGTTTTCCTTATTGTGTTTTTGTAAAAAAAACACCATGGTGTTGTGTTTTTACCTTAAAATGTTTTCAAAACACCATGTTAAGTATTACACTAGTTTGATCCATTATAACATTAGTATTAAACATATTATTAATATATTATATATTAATTATTATAAAATATATTGTAAATAAAATGTTATAATATTTAGTTTACATTATTATAGTATTATAAGTATTAAATGTAATGCACTATAATATTGTATAATGTATTATAATATTATATTGTACTTTAATGAGTTATATTATATTATAAATCTTGTTGTAATAATAAACTTTCATAACTGCAGGGGGGAATTTTGCAATCTAAAGGGGGGTATCCTTAATTTTGAAATGCTTGCAAAATAAGTACAAGCGTAAATGTTGGGGTATTAATAGTTCGCCTAACCGTAAGGTTCTCATTTCCTCGGCTTTGAATGTTATCTTCATTTGCATTCATCGTACATAACGTGTTCTTATATCCTATAGTCATCTTTTGTGCATGTTAGTTTCTTAATAATCTAACGTTAAGGATTTCAAACACTATCGAAATCATTTCTAAATTGATTTTTGATTGACGTTTGCAGGGATTTCGAAAGATTGATCCAGATTGATGGGAATTCGCGAACGAATATTTCTTAGGAGGCCAAAAACACCTCCTCAAGAACATCAGGCGAAGGCGAATCACAACACAAAACTCAAATCAAAACCTCGAACTATGGCATTCCGAGCACGAATCAGAGCTACAAAGACTCAAGCGAGATCAAAACACCATAAAGCTCGAAATCCTCAACCTCCGTGGTATAAATTTGACACTACGATTTGTATGTAAGATTATATACTCATCTGCTTACCAAGCTGAAGCACGCTGATTGGTTTGATTTGTTACTTTGTGAGGTCACTTGGGATCAGTTCATGAATGATGAAGTAATTACTGTTGCTGCTGCAGGATGGTATCCAAATATGGTATCAGCGCGTCAGGGATGTTTATCATCTTTATTTTTTTTGGTGATTATATAACATCCCTGACGGGCATGCCGTCAGGGATGTTTATCGCTGACGGCATGCCCGTCAGGGATGTTATATAATCACCAAAAAAATTATGCTGATTTCATGCAAAATTTCCTGTATACAATTCTTGCACTACTGACGGCGTCCCGTCAGGGATGTTTCTTCCCTGACGGGACTTTTTCTGACGGCGTATCCTTGACGGGACGCCGTCAAAGATACGTATCCCTGACGGGAAATTTGTCATCCCTGACGGGAAAGCCCGTCAAGGATGCTTATTTTTCTACTAGTGGTTCATGAGTAGTTTTTATCATATTTTGATAATTATGTTGTTTAATTAAGAGCTAATTGAGGAAATTGATTAAATAGTATGCTAAACCCTATTTTGAAAGGTTTAAAAATTATGTATTATGATTCAGATAATCTTTGTTGCATATGCCAAGTATAAGGTTTTGGTTTAGCTTCATGATATGTGCAATTGACAAATAAGTAATATTCGTGCATGAAAGAATGCATGTTTTGATAGGGTACTCGACTACTAAGCTTAGTAGTCGGCTACTCATTTTCAGTTTAGATTTTCAAAAACTGGGTTATTGCAGAGTAGTCGACTAATGTGCTTAATAGTCAACTACTAATACTGATACATGCCTCACAGAGTCTGGATGGACTCACTGTAGTCAACTACTTAGACAAATTTTCCTGAATATTAATTTTCACTGTTTTGAGATGCGATCGCGGTTTATGAGTTGCATGATAGTACACGTACGGGCATGATGATACATGAATGGTGTCATAGTACACACATGAGTATCCCAAAGGGGATTTTGACAAGTGTTGAGCTGATTACACTTGAGTTAGAGATTTTTACGCACTTGTTTGATATCGTTGATGAGCTCAGCTCAGTACTATATGAGATAGTGCGTCGATGTACCAAATATACATAGTTTATATACGAGATGGATATTGTTGATGGACTCAGTTCAGTACTACGTGTGGTAGTGCATCGATATTCCATTTGTATAGGCCATTAAGTCGGGTTTGGATGCTTTGTCTAGTAGTCCGTCCACACGAGGGTACGATAAGGCTTGTGAGTCGTCTTTTACGATACCTATATGATAGGCCGTCCAACAATCATGTTACACACTGAGATCATGATGAGACTAATGAGCCATGTATACTATTTAGGATACCTACAGGGTAGTCCGTTGCGTATGATAATGCGATGTAATCAGAATCTTGCAAAGGTTTGCATTGAGAAGATTATTGATAGCATGAGTCTTTTGTGGATGCCAATTATGTATATGACTCATTGCTGAGATATATGACCGAGGTACTTTGCCTTTGAAAGTACACGGGATTATATGCTGATATTTATCTTATCTTCCTAGTAATAGTGGAAGATATTATAAATACGATATTATGAATGTCTTTACTTTATGTATTGCTTTATTTTATTTTTAGGTTGAGATCAATGATTAGAGATTCACAATTTGAGACATATGATATATACATGAGGGTTTCCTTATTTGGATTATTTCTCTTGACGTACAAGTCTCGTGTTGTGGGTTTCTAATTATTAATTTCATTTAGATTGTTTATCTCTAGTTCGGTGTTAATGTTTAGGTACCTATAATTTGAGACATATGGTATATACATGAGGGTTTTCTTGTTTGGATTATTTCGTTCGACGTACTACTTCTCGCATTATAGGTGTCTAAATATTAATTCCATTAGATACGGGAAAAATGATCTAGGTAGATTATGCTTAATAAATAGAGCCTCCACTTCATCTAGCAGCCCTTCCCCTGAGGGCTGATGAAGGTGACGTTATTCTTATTGTTATTTTTGTTTTAAATCTTCTTTCAGGCAGCTCAGAGTTTCGGAGAGTCGCAGGATGACGGAGTTCTAGCATAGTCATCGTCGCGTATTTTAGTAGTTGAGACTCCACTATAGTTTATGTTCTCATTCAGATATTAGAGTTTTGTTTTCATATTCTAAAGACAGTGTGCCTTAGTATACTTTTTAGTTGATTCATGTTGAGACATTTTTATTATTCTAGATATCAGATGTATTTTAGTTGAGACATGATTTTCATTTATGAGATATCTCGTTCTATATCATGTCTATTATTTTTATTTCCTTATTTTGCCTGTTTTATACCTACACTTATATTTGATTCCACTAGAGGATATTATTGTGATTGGTGAAACGTGTTATTACACAGTGTGGTTGTATGACAGGTTTGACATCACTAGGCTCACCTTAGGCTGCAGCCATGTGTTAAAACAAGGATGTCGCATGGTATAATACATGTCTAAACGGGCTGAAGTGGTAGCTTGTAATACCAATCATAACAAGGTAGCTCTCAAATTTCTGAGGAAAACATCTTCCTCCGGTTTTGAGTAGCCCCAAGCAATCATTAGTGATAATGGTACAAAATTCTTTATCGGTTCCTTTGAGGCATTAATAAAGAAATATTCAATCACACATAAATTGTTAACTCTTTATCACCCCCAAATCAACAGTTATATAAAGGTCATAAATAGATAGATCAAACAAATCTTAGAAAAAATTATTAATCAGAATAGAGAAGATTAATCTGTTAAGTTGTGTAATGCTTTATGGGCCT